GAATGTAATTATTGAATGTGCAGATAAAGTTACTCTGCCAGGACCAAAAGACTGAGTTACAGAGACACCAAGGCAGATGATGATGTAGGAATGGAACAGAGAAGAGCAACTGGCAAGAGGAGACTCATGTTCTTCCCTGCATAATCGCTAAACGCTGTCACAGTATACTTAGGTTTAAATGTCAGGTTTTGTCTAGATCTTTTCCTGTATCTTGTCTTCTTAATTTAAACCCAAGATGTGACTCCATCTGTTCATCTCAGCAGCCTCTACTACACCTCAGGGTGCAGTTCCACCAGCAGCCTAATCCAATCTATGCTACAAACCTGTCACCTTCCATGTCACTAGATGTGGAAGATTCTTTTCCATTGGCTTCAGCAATTATGAAAACATGGGGTAAAGTGGGTAACTCAAATCTAACCCTCCCTTCCCACTCCCAAAGTGACTTTGAGTCAGAGCTGAATAACTGCATATCTGCAAGGCTGTAATGTGTGGAGCAACAGATTGCTACACAAAATCGCAAGTTTTTATTTTGACTCACCTTCCATCGAGGTCCAACTTTAACATGCATCATTGTCTTCTTATCCCACAGAACTGTAATGTCCTGTTCTGGAAAGTGTATCACAGTATAGTATCCAGCCTTCCAAAGCTGATAGTTAGATTTGTTTTCCTGTCCCCTTAACATCTTCTGACAGAAAAGAAAATGTATTAAGTTCTAAGAAAGTAATTCTGCCAAGGTATGCAGACAATTAGTAACAAAGCTTATACTGAAAAATACTTTATCTTTAGCATATAGTTGAATCAATAATATAACTAGAAATTTTGTTTAACACTTCGATATTTTGCCTTTTCAACCATTCAAGTTTGCTTTGATTTTGTACTTTGGGTTCCCTTTCAAAACCAAGTGGAAAGACACAAATAAATGCTAATATGCTTCAACTGCTTGAGGTTTTTGAAGTCTTCTTTGTAGGACAAATAGAAATTCAAAAAAACCAACAAAAATTAGATTTTTCCTGGGACCTGCTGCTTCATCTAGGCCTAGGCACTTATACTGCATAAACTCAGACTGAGTGACATTTTCCAAAACCATACTCCTTTAGAGCTGTAATTTTACAATGCTTATCTTAAAGGGCACTATAAAAAGGAAAGACAGTAACTAACCTGCTGCTCAGAAGGCTCACTAAAATAAATCTCAGTGTCTCCAACAGTGATGAAAATATTCTTTGAGCAAACAATATCATTGTCAAAGCACTTTTTGTTCTGAGCAATTATGGATATATTTGAGTTATCTGTGCTCTGCAATATGAAGAAGAAATCATTTTACTTATAGATTCAATTGCATTTCACTCCCGCAGATTTATTCCAGGCTTACCATGACAAAAAGATGGATAACTCAGTATTTACACATCTTTGAAATTAAATTTCAGAAAAGCTACCAAACGAGGAAATGCCTTTTTAAATTCAAAGCTGAACCCACAACCAGCTCAAACTCTGGAGTTAAACACAAAGAGTCATTATGTTCAGCTGTGAGTCCTCTTTCTGAGGACTTCACAAACTCAGAGGATCAGCCTATCTCTCAAATAAGAGTCTGGTTTAGGCTTTTAAAATATGCTCCTATGCAGAATCCAATATTTACTGCACAGTATGGTTGTCAAAATCAAGACATACTATAAAAAGAGCTTTATTTTTAAACCAAAGTACTTGAGATCAAGCTGGTTTTGTATTTTTTAAACCAAGAAACTTACCATCTGTCAGTAGCATATAGAACAATTTTTGTACCACCACCCATCAAAATTCACAAAACTATGAGTCATACTAAATTTTATTGGAGGGGATAAAGGTTTCTGCTGATGTTTTTGTTTGGTTGTTTGTTTTTTTCTTTAACATTTAGAAGATTAGTCTATTCTGTTGTCTTTTGATTTGCTGGTATTTTAGTACCCAAAATTCACATTTACTGCCTTTCCAATCCCAGATCTGTTGGCTCTCCAGCCTGTAAATTAATTTTGTGTTTTTAGCACATAAATCACTTTTGCACCTTGGCCTAACATGTCTGATTATTCACCTACAGCTTTTGTGGTCTTTTTGTAGCCTAATGGAAACACACATGCAACCTGTAATTCCCCATGCTAGGACTGGTACTGGAATAAAGGAGACCAGCTACATTTTCAGAGTTGCTAACACTACCACAAACAAAAATGAAGTAACTCTCATTATTTCATATTTTAATTTGCCGTTCAATTCATTTCTGTACCAATCTTTGCAAGGCAACGACAAGACATTACTACAGAATAGAGACTTGAGAGAGTTAACTTCATAACATTAAAATAAGCCAATAATAGTGCTTCTGAATCCAGTCTCATTTTTGAGCAAATTCAGTCCTACAGTTTTTACAAACCTGAGACGTATATGAAAGAAAAATCTTGGAGGTGGCAAGCTATCTATCTCACCAACTGTATCATCCCGTCTTATATGAGACACTTGGGTAAATGCTGGAAACAAAAAGATGTTTAAACTTCTCTTCTGACTCTCACCCTGCTTTAAATACTCTCTGAGACTATGGCTAGCTGAAATTAGTTGTAGGTGTTATTGGGCACAGTGGACAAGATGGGAATGGCGGCTTTCAGCAGTTCCCCGGTCCTGGTAACTCCTCTCGGCTCCCAGCAATGCTCTTGGAGAGCTCCACTTGGCCACAATGGGAGAGACTTCTTGCCTTGGTTTGTGCCCACAGCATCTCTTCCCAGAGCTTTGCTCCATCTCTTGGTCAGCGTACCTCTCTTTTGGTCAGTATACCCCTGAAAGGTGACACATACATGCTCCTAATCACTCCCTACTCTGTACCCTTGTTTTTAGTGTGCATATCAAAATTCAAGAATAAAAAACCATGTCATCAATTTTTCCTTACCGCTGAGAAACATTGCATGCAGAAAATATGAGTCCTACAGGAAGCAGCTTTTTTCTTTTCCCTTAATAATACTCAAAGTGACTAAGCTGTTTAAAGAATGCTTTCAATCTATTAAAACAAACAAACAAAAAAACCCCAAAAAGCCCACCTCAACAATTTTAGCAAATGGGAAGTGTAGAGGTATTTTTGTTGCTACACAGAGAGTTGCTACAGCTTCGTCTACCCCGAGTCTAGCATGGCCCACAAGCCATAGGATGCCGCTACGTGGCATTGCAAACACTCTGCAGCAAGCGTGAGTGAATGCAATGATCAGGTATGGGAGACTGCCTGCAAGCTTTATGTTACCCTAATGCCAAGGCTTAAGAAACAGGTGGTATATGTTAGCAATTAGCTTGGAAGACAACAGTTGAGGTGGGTAAAGTTTGTCACTGGCTGCTAGGGGTAAGAGGGTGTAGGAAATCAGCTCTCCATAATTTAGCAAGGGAACTCAGTTTAAAAGTGCTGAAAGGTTCAGGGTAAAGCAAAGTTCATCTGTTCTGTTGTAAAGTTGTTTTAGGTTGTACTCAGAATAAAATTGGACACTACCTTTTTGGGAAATACACTGTGTTTTAATTAAGCCAGGCTTGCTACTGGAGTCAGTCCAGTAATTATTCCCCTCCAAGTCAGATATCTAACAGCCCAGAGCATTTTTTGACTTATTGGAGGTGATGTGGTAAATTAAAAAGAAGAAAAACTCATTAGTTTGGTAGATAGGATGCAAGCTGATATATTCTGTGCTGGAAAAATGAAAAGTGAGCAAAGAAGCTACCTCCCCACCATGAGTCTGTTCAGAAAAGGACTTTGCTTGCAGTCTATGGGTGTATTTGGTGCCTAGGACATTGTGGGTTCTTTTCATTGCAGAGTTAATTCCTCTTCAGTTAGCTTAGCCTCAGCAAAAGGGGACACTCTGAGTTAATAGGGAAGCAACGTCTTCATCGTAAGAAAAGAGATGGAGGGCTTTAGTTTAAAAAAAGGATAGTTAATTCAGGCTAATTATCCCACAGTAAAAATACACCTTTTTTGGCAATGAAGACAAGTTCTTGGAGCAGCAGCAGGTAGCTGTATTAGCTATGCTAATTGAAGCTGCTGCCTGTGCCTTCTGACAGTCCAGGCAAATCCTTTCAGCTGAACAGCATCAACATACTCAAGTCAGAAGTTTTTGTGTATGGTTGGGATTTGAGCCAAGGGCAAAAGTCAAATTACATTTCAAGTTAACTCTGCAGTAGAGAGAACCCTGAGACAGGCAATGTTTTGCTGACCAAAGCCAGAACAGGGAGTCCTGAAGACATGTGAAGTACTTCCTTAATTGTAGAACTGCATGTTGGTGTTAAATTACTAGAAATTATGCAGGATAGAAATGTAGAGAGACAGTGGTGGCGGTTCAGTAGAGCTATGAGTAAACCAGACATTTAAGAAAAAGGGCTTTGCATTGAATCCTGAGTCTTCTGTGCTTTCTCTTTCTAATTAAATCTTAGAACTAAACCCAAATATAAAAACACCATTATGAATTATGTGTTTCTTGTGGCTCACAGCTTTCTTTTTAAGATTTGCTTTACATATATACCCTTGCCATTCTCTTTATATACCTCAGTAAAAACTGAGTCTTTTTCCACCTGTACAGTACCAGCCAAATTCGAAGTTGAATGACAGTCTATCCTGGTCTTCAAATTATTCTGTAACTGCTATACGTGCAGGCTCTGCTTTCAGCAGGGAAGAAATAAAGTGCAATTGAAACTTAGCACTTAATTACTGGCAATGCAAAAGAAAGAACAGGGACTATTTAGATAAACTGAAGATCATCTTTTAATATTTGTGTGAGACAGCGAGGTCTTGGGCAAATCTCAACAGCTCTTAGGTACTGTGATAATATAAATCATAATGATTGAGTTCCACCTCTCTAATCTGCACTGGCTCCACACAGGCATGAAAACAAGCTTTTCTCACTACTGCTGGAAGAAATGTCTGAGTAGACACTAGGACCAGGTCTAATGAATACAAGGTGGGGGTTTTTGTTGGTTTTCTTTTTTTTTTCTACACAGTCTTTTTCCAAGACAGAGTCACTTTTTACCTTTTTAGGTAAAATGCACCCAACAGGGGATGTACTACAGTTCATCATGTGAAACCTACTTACGCTGACAGAAACTAGAAATAAAATGGTTTTCCCACTGCAAGAGTATCTTCCCACGTAAATTACCATATCCAGCCTGTTCCAACTTAATATCAGTTTCTTTGTGATAACATGGAGTTGCCAAGCAACAGGAAAGACAGAGTCACAGCTCTGGGCAGTCAGTCAAAAGCTCATTGTCAGTCCCTCTTCTCAGGACATTCTTTTTCTAGGCTTCACTGCATTTTTTTCCATATTTCTTCCTAGCCGAAAAAGCAAAGTACTTCTTTCCCTTATTTTTTTTTTTTTTCTTTTTTTCCAGTAGTGCTTGGGAATGCTAGGGTTTATTTTTGTTATAAACTTTCTATTTCAATATCCTGTTAGAAATTTTCTATTGCTATCAACCAATAACAACACTGTGCAGTGTGCTTACATAGTCCAAATGCAGCCTGGGAGAAGACAATTTGAAAGTGGCTGTATTTATCTTCTTTGAAAGTTTCATTAAAATCTCTCTAACTGTTCAGTGTAAATACTCATTCTTTTTCATTCTTAATATCCTTATTTCCCCCCTCCCCCCCCCTTTTTTTTTTGTTCCCTACAATTTCCTTAATTTCTTAACATTTAACTTTCTAGAATTTGGGAATGTCTTTTTGTGTGTGTCTCCCCCCCACTTTTTTTTTTGTTCCCTACAATTCGCTAACTTGCAAACTAGAGTTGCCATAAAAGCATCTGGGGACATACTAGGAACTGGATAAAGGTAGATCAGTCCTATTTTCCTTTTGTTTTAATGACTTTTTAGAGGTTTTCATATTTAGCCACATACACAAACAAATGAAAAAAAATCTCTAAAAATGCTGAAAAAATATACAGTAGTTTAAAAAGTAGAATTTGCTTTCTCCTTCCTACATATTTTCAGAGAGACACATTAGCTCTGTTCAGACTTAACCTTTCAAGCAATTTTATAGAAACTCAGAATTAGTTCGGTCATTGTTTATTGGACTCTGAACTTCTTCTGAAGGAACTTAACATTTGAAACTACTGGTTCTAGTGAGCTTGATCCTAGGAGAAGCCAAGCATCTTAGCCTGGATTTAGTGAGCATTTAGGCACAAATTTTTAAGTGTTTTTGGAGATCAGATAAACGCCTTGGCACCTGACATGATTTTGCTTTGTTAGTTTCTTGTGCCAATTTATGAGGCAGTTGATCTCCAGATAATCAGTGAAAACACATTAATTATGCAAAACTCATTCAC